TGTGCATTTCGACTCACTGAAATACCTCTTTTCAGAACAACTTATATATGATCTTCAGCTTATGTTATGGTTTTTTTTCTTTGTTTCTTGTATCTCCTTGGTTGTTTGCAGCAATAATGTATCTCATCTGTGCAATTTTACAGAGAGCAAATTGTAAACAGAGTTCTCCATTCTCCTACCTACGCATAAAGACATCCTGAGAAATAGATTCATGAATGAGCCAGCACCTCAAGTAGGATCTGATTTTAGCATTTTCTTCGGCTTCAGGGTAAGAATTGTATGTGACAATGCTTCTAAGCGCAAAAATCCCTAACTTCAATGCTGTAAAATATGCCAACAATACCACTGACACAACCAATACAGACTAAGAGCAATTTCTACTAATGTGACTCTAAGGATTTTCCTTTTAGGGCAAATCTAAAGCAGGTGCTTACAGGTAATTTCACCTCAGCTGTATGGCCATTACTCTGCCATCTCCAGGAACTGGCTAGCTCAGAAAACCTATCCTCTAGTTGGCAAGCAGCAGCACAGACTGAAGCAGGGGTCTGAGCTGCCTAATTTGGCAATATCACTGGCATCTGATATTCCCATTTACTGTGTAAGTCAGCAACATGACAGAAACTTCCCAAAATAGGAGACAACCCCTCAAGGAAAGCTGAGCAGTTTGCTATAATAAAAACAAAGACTGCTCTGACCTTACACACTTTGGAGTCACAGCATTCACACACCACTCAGATTTCCTGTTTGAAAAAAGGCAGTTAGTAGCCAAATATAAAGTGCAAAATTCATGCCACTTTCCAGGCTTTGCTCACTTCAGGAGTGGTACCTTCCCTGGGTAGACAGACCCCTCAGCAACACTCCTGGCATTTGGAACCTCAGCCCAGGCCTTTCCTCAGTTTGGACAACCTTTTTTTTTTCAAAAACCCACCTCAGGCAAGTATCAACAAAACAGCCAGTTCTCTGTACATCTGCTGCCATTATTTGCTGTGAGGAATTCTGTGTTTGAGTTAAAAGTGCATAGCACAGTGACTCACTAAAAGAAGGAATCTGATTAGACAATTGCCTACGTTTCCCCACCCCAACAATTTACTTAGTGAGTAATCCAGCCTCAGTTATGAACATAAAGTACAGATATCCACATTGGGAATTTACTCTTCTGTAAAGGAAGTGTCTCCTGAACAGATGGAAAGACCTACCTCTTTACCAAGCACTAAAGGTAGAAGGAAAACAGGTATCAGGCAAAAGAGCACTTCCATTTAGATAATTCCTCCTCCTAGATACAATTTATGGTGTAAGAATTACAAAAGCTTGTCACTTCATTGTATTTCCACACATTAGCCTTTATGAAAAGAGGAAATGGACTCTGCAATCCCCATCTGCTCTTTTTCCTCATATTTTAAATTAAAACTGGAGACAAGAAATCCTGCACTAGGGCAGAAATTGTTCTGCTGAATACTCACTTTGTCACTTCAGTGTTTCCAGAAAAGTTGATATCCTGTTTTAAGTACAAATCTTTCCAGAAATTCCTTATCAACACTAAGACAAGTGAGGAAAAAGATGCTCAGAGAAATTCTGTTTATGTCTTCTGTCAGTGTATACAAAACTCAGGTCAGTCTCCTCTGGGAAATGTGTATTCCACCACAATTATGAGCTCCACCAGAGCTAGAGGATTCCTTAACTTGGTGAGAAAGGTGGGTTTCTGTTCTTTGGGGGTTTTGGTAGGTTTTTCCTTGGTTAAATGGTTAACACAATTTGATTTGTGAAAAACTAAATGTCTTGTCCTCCACTTCAAAATGTAACAGGGAAGGAGTTCCTTCTTTATGCCCACAAGTGAGCAAACTCTAAGAACAGCAGCTCCAGTGGCTCTGGCATTACAGCAGGTGTGCAGATTAGAGGCAGGTGCCCAAGGTGTCTTGCCTCAACACTGGAGTAAAAGAAACAAATTCAAACCCTCAGGCTACGGTATGACTGATATCCTTATTTCCTGGTGCTAAACAAAATGGTGACAAGAATTTTTGCTTGTAGTAAAGACAAACTCCACTTCAGCTGCTCAATACAAATGAAGTAATGGTACCTGGAGGCTCCCTGGTGAAGGTGGCTGCCTTTATGGAGGCTAAACTCTTACGGGATTTATGTGTCACAAACTGTAGCTGCCTGTAAGAAGTGTTCCATAAAATTCTCCACCTTCACAGCACAGGACTTCAGCCACATGCTCATTCTTCTTATTCTGAGGATGGAGTGGGTATGAAAGGGCAAAATCATAGCTTTGTTTAAAGATTCAAAACACCTGGGAATATCTGATGGATCCACAAGTGCTGAAGAGAGGTAACAGTCAAACATGCTTCTGGAACAAGGAAAAAACCTACATTCTTCTGTGATCATTCCTGAGGATTTTTCTCATGATAGCCTAAAAAGAAGTTGCTAAAAACATTTTGTCACTGATCTTCCCAAACTTCTGTGAAGTCTGTCTGCATAAGGACAAATGAACACTGAGATTATTTTTCCCTTTTCATTGCATCACCTGACCTTTTGGCCAAGTTAGGAAAACTTCTACTTTTGCAGCCATACTGAGGAACACGAAAATATTGCTACATTGAAATAGAGATACACTAAAGTATAATTTCGAAAGAAAAATCTGCAAAGCTATTACAGAGTCAAATATTTACTTCTTAATGTTTAAAATACAGGAGCAGTTCTGCCTGAATACCAAGCACCTGCATCTGTCATCTGTACTGCACTTTATACAGAGAATTTCAGAGTATTCTTCCAAAGGGCACAGCAGAAATATTATCTGTCTATAGTTCCTACAGAAACAAAAGGCAGAGAAAGATCTTGGCATAGAGTCTAAAAGAACAACATTTTACTGTACATATTCAAGAACAATAATTTATTAATATCATAATTTATGATTTATTATGATCCTCAAATATTGCAAATCCTTTAGAGACCACCAGGCCTACTTAAGTAATCATTAATTTACATAGTAAGAAACTCTAATACTTACATAGCTGTGACTCTTAAGGAAATCTGAAGGGTTGCTTGTGCAGACTTTATCCCCTTCCAAGCCAATTACTCTTTTACAGATATTTGATTTGGGGTCATTTGGGCTTTTCACAATTACAATATCTCCTCTGAGAGGAAAAAAAAAACAAACAAAAACAAACAGAAGAACTCTAATTACAAACAATTTCACTGAGTACATGAGCATCCATGCATCTACTCCAAAAATATTCACACACATTAAAGAAAGTCCATTGTGCTGGAAATTCTTGTGTACAATTTTGATTTCTTCAGTTTTACTCAGGTGTAATTTCACAGAGTTTTACAAGTTGAGTGAATTTTTTGTTATTGAGATGATTTATGAAACATTTAAGACTACAACCTGAGACCATTAATAGCCATAGTTGGTTTTCAAGACCAAACTGCTTAGAGAAGAAGTTACATTCACTCAATAGAACCATTTAGGGGGAGGAAAAAAACTATTTTTTTTTCTATTTTTTTGTACAAAGCTGTGAAAGTGACAACGGACTAAATCCAAACTGAATTTTGACAAGTTGTTCATTGGGCTATTTGTGCTGATAACTTTAACATCCTTCAGACACAATGAAAAATTACAAGTTAGAAGCAGAAAAATACACTAAAAATAAAGGGCAGAAGGGCAGAATGTGGTTACTGACAAGCTCTGGCAAAGAGAATGTCAGGTGTGGTCTCAAGAGAGGAGCGTACTTTCGAATGCAATAAAAGTGGCGGCTAAGGCTCTCCGAAAAGACAATATCAGAGTTCTGAATGGTTGGTTCCATGGAAGGTCCAGAACACTGCAAATTCAAAAGAAAGGAGAAAAAAAAATTACTATTTCAAACTGCTTTTTTCTAAAATAAACTTATATTCAAATGATATACTAATAAATTAGAAAAGGTGGAATGTAGAGAACTAAAAGTGAGTTCCTCCAAGGAATGTGTGATGCATTTAAAAGCTGAGGGGAGCCTCTAGGGCACCTCTAACTCTGTTACAGCTCCGTATTTCCTTGGGATTGGTCCTGAACTGCACTAGGTGCTACAGGCCCTTATGGACTCCTTCAGCACTGCATCTCCAAAAAATTTTTAGGAGCAGTGCTCAAAGCCATACCAGCTTACCCCTTTCTCTGTGACACAGAACCATCACAGAAGCTGCAGGAGCAGCTGAGAGCCAAACTCCCCCATGCCCAGCAGCAGTATCTGCCAGGTTAAGGACCTGGGGAGGAGGGGCAAGGAGCATAAAACATCCAGAAATTTGGCCTGAGTGTGAAACAAAGGCATTTCCTATTGGTGACTCCAGTCTTTTTTAAAGGATGGACTCTGCAAAAGGCTTAATTAGAGTTTCCCATTTACTCAGTGATGCCTCAAGCAATAACACATCAGAAAACATGAATGACTAAAGTACAAATAATTTTCAAAAGGGCTGGACCTGCTTCCCATAAATTGTGTTCAATGCTTCAAAGAAAATTAAGAAACCTGAAATATTGGCATCATCACATAGAAAAATGTCAGCATTACAGTTTTATCTCCTTTTAAATGTCATGAAAATGAAGAGTTACCACAACAATTCCTCCAAGGTACTCAAAGGCACAGTGTGCTATGCAGCCATATTGCACCGTGTAGCCCAGAAATCGGAAGGCTTTTCCTAGGGCATTGCGAAGCATCCTACAGTGGTACGGTGCCCAGCTGGCTCTACAGCAAAACAGAAGAGGGTCATTCATTGGAGAACAAGCAATCCAACATTTACAAACCCATCTTTTGAGTGTAACAGGTGGATCAAAACCAACAGTGTAATGAAACCAACAAATAATCAGATAGACCTGAAGAGGTGGATATAGAAATACGGCATCAGCTCTTTCTGTTCTCAGCTGCAGCACAGTGCTAAACTTCTGCAGCTGTAAACATTTTCTGACCCTTTGCTCCAAGTATTCAAGTCCAACTCTGATTGGGAGATCCAGTTCCTGCAATGCTAATCTAAATAAAATGTTTCCTTATCAAAATGTGGTGGTTACACTTAAGGAAGTGGAAAATATACTGAAGTAATTGAAGCAAGCTTTACGTTCTGCAAAACACCTGTTCCCCTTAAACTCAGTGTTGCCTTATCATGAACTAAAACCACTGCAAGATTTCCCTCTTTTACTAAGATGGGTCAATAGAGTTTGCTGAGCAAATACAGTACGTTGAAAGAAAAAAAAAGGAAAAATGCTGTGTAAAATATGGCCACTTCAAATGAAATAGACATTTCATTGCATTTCACTAATTAAAGATAGGAATTTACAGGTTCATGGCTTTATTTTCACTCTCACTAGAATTTAATGGGAGTTTTACCTGACTACATTCAAAAGACAACCATTATTGCAAATAATTGCAAATATTCTCCAACAAGTTCAATTCCTTGTTCCAAAAGAGACATACATTTTTATCTACATAAACTTCATTCACTATCTGACCATTTTCGCAGTAATAACCCAAAATACAATGGAAAACAGAAAAGTCTTGAATTGTGTCTGACAGATGCAGCACCCAGCACGCTGCAGGACACGCTGCAGGAACTGGAGCTGCTCCCCTGGAAGGGGAATGCACTTTCAGCAGAATCCATTCTGGTGAGGCACAGAAGTGGTTGCTTCTTCTCAATTCAGTACACCCAAATAGCACCAACTAATGCCTTACTCTTAGGCCAGACACACTGAGAGCCCAGAAATGTGAGACAGGTCACAGAAGGAAAGTGGGGGCACAGCAGATGAATCTGCATTGCAGAAGTAGGTGAATCCAAAACTACGTTTTGAGAGAAGTCCATCATCAATCCTTCTTAACAGCACCTACTAGAAAGGAGCCTCATGTTGCTTCTCAGTTCAGGGAGAAAGAAAAATACTGCACAAGCATCCTCTACTTTTGACCCTTGGTATTCAAAAACCTTACATTAACATATTAAGATAGTAGGGAATTTAGGTACCTGTGGGTATTGCAGGTAAAAAAGCATTTACAAACAATGCATTACAATGCCCAGAGTATATAGATCAAACTGGGACAAATAAAGAGTAACAACATCAAAAGAATGTGCAAACCTCCCATGCCAGGAGCTGTCAGGTTGTAACTAAAATGTTTTTATTATGAAACTCGAAACAACAGCTCTACATCTCAGAAAACAAGTTTCAAAGTGATTGCAAGCTGTTTCCTTTTGGATTTTGGGTGACACAAACAGGGACAGTTACCCTGGACATGTGTGTCCCTGGGATGCTTGTGAGTAGATTTGGGAGCTATTCAGGGAAACCCAGGGCTCAGTGAGCTTTGCGTGCTGCCAGAGCTGCCATGGTAAAAAGATAACCACAAGGACAGAACATGAATGAAAAGCTCTCAAATTTTATTCCCAGTTCTCTTAAAATAAATTCTTAACTCCTGAGACATAGATTTCACCAACCCCTTCTTATAAATGTAGTACAAAGGATTTTTTTAAGTGCTCAAGCTTATCAGATTTTACGATAACAATAAAAAAAAATTACCTTTTAAAAGCTTTCAACTACTACCCAAGAAAGTTAGTTTAAAATGAAGACACATATATACCTCGATTATACAATCTGACCATGGCAAGGTACCTCCTGAGGATGGGAGGGTGTTTTAAATGTTAAGGCTTATCTTTAGATATCTAACATTCATTCCAAATAACTAAAATCCTAAAGTTTCCATGTAGTTTTAAGTAACAACTTCTAGTTAATAACTGGTCATAGCAAGTCCAGTAAAAAAACTACCAGACCAAACTAGTTTATTTAAAAAGAAAAAAAAAATCCACCCAGGAATACTAACTTGAGCATCATTAAAATAGAATTGTTTCCTCTGAAAACTTCGTATCATTATATTTTTGAAACAATGTCATATTGTTGATCACAAGGAAGTAAACAGCTGAACAGTTTTCCACATCACACAATTTTAATACAAAGTACCATAAGCAGGCAACTCCACCAGATCGAACATAAGACCATTAAGCACAATAAAACAAATTATTTAAGTCACAGGCCCCTTGAAAACTTAATGGCTCTGTAGTATAAACATCCTTATTGCAGAACTAATGGCCTAAAACCCGTTGTAATTACTTCCAGGTACTACGTACTATCATATAGCAGGTATCTGAAAAATTGCTACTGAAATCAACACTGCTTAAAAAAGGTCACACATCCATATTTATCACAGAAAACATAATTTGGTTACTTTACCACAACTGTATAGTTGTAAAATACACAGCAAATAATATGCAAAATGTAATTACTAGTATATTCTGCTCCCTCTTCCTTCCATAGCCTATGCTTTCATCACTCGGGTTTTTGTTTGTTTGTTTATAAAATTAATCACAGCTAGCAGGGTAGAAATCACTTTGAGCCTCATGAATGACATCCAAGAGATGGGAAAGGATTAGTTCTCAGTTGCTGCCAGTTATAGCGCCAGGTGGCTTTTTCTGCAGCGAAGGTGTTACCGATAATCCCATTACATTGGTACTAAATCTTGCAGACATCAAAATTATCACCAAGGTTCCTTTTCATCCCATCCTTTCCAAATGACTGGAAGTCGCTTCACCTGAAAGAAGTCAAATCCACATGCAGCTGCTGTTTTAGCAGCCAGCGGACTCCCTGAGAATGCCAATTGTGATCCAATTTCGCTGTGCTGGTGGCCCCCTATTCCCTGTCCAATAATACATCTGTTAAAAAATCCTACAGCTACAAATCAAGTTTAATCCTACCAGGGACCTCATGTTGGTCTTGTCTTCCAAAAAGGCAGCAGGTTTTGCCGTCTATCTCTGCCAGTGTCTGGGGAATACTCTTTAAATCCCAGCTCTACTTAGAAGAATAAGCTAAGGATCACAAAACATGACCTCAAAAACCCTGATATGACTATATTCTGACCCAGAGGCATTCATTCTAGGTGAAGATTAGAACTTTGCATAATAAGATTACACAGCAAGTGAATGATATCAAGGGACTATCCATATGCAGCCGCCTGGTTTTCTATAGACAGCCTGTGCTCTGCAATATGCAGTGCAGACGAAACAGAGCTTGGGCTTTCTAGCTGAAATAAAATAGATTCACATAAATTAGTTGGCCATTTCCAGATTCCTAAATCCCCTATTACATCTTTTATTGACAGCTCCTGTGAGGATAGCACAAATGGTATTCTCTTTGTACTCTTTGCTTCTGTAGCACTCGCACTCTGAGGGAAATGTACATAGGTTGTGTAGAAATTAACATCTTGTTTGCTGTAATCTTGGATTACAATTAGCTGTGTACATAATAAAATTAGAAAATCAATGAGCAGATTTATCATTTCCAGAAAACCAACAGCATTGTGTAAGACAATTTAAGACATGGCGCTGAATTTTTAAAAACAGGAAAATCAAAGTTGCAGCCACTGAAAGTGTGACTAAACAAATCACTGCACTTGGCACTAAACAGATTTTTCACTTTCATAAAAAAATTCTGGTAGCATTTGCTTTATATAATTTTTCCCAATTCTGGAACTGAATATGTTGTGAATTGTAGTGAAGTAATGTATGCCACTGAATATGTAGTGAGAGATTATCAGTTTTTCCTTCCCTAACAAACTCTTCTGCTAACCTTCTCCACTTCTTACCAGACACCTTTCTCTATGCACCACCTCTTTCCCACCAAATTACTCTGAGATTACTATAAAAAACAATCCAAAACCCCAAACCAAAAAAAACCTGCACACTGACTAGGCTATTTAAATATTTATGTTTGAGCTGTTATTTATATTAAAGTATTATTTTAAAACTTCTGCATGAAACTGATGTTACATGTGCTAGAAGAATGAAGTGTGTGTATCTTGTTTATTTGGATGCTTCCCATATTAGATATAAAATATGCTTTAAATAGATAAAAAATATACAAAATATTAATATACAAAATTCTTTAAATATTTTAATTATAATCTGAGGATTCTGAACATCTAAAGCAAAATGAAGAACAATTTTCAAAAGGTCACTCTATCCTGGAGATGAGAAGAATTGCTTTTTTATTTTCAGCTGTTGCTTTACTCTGGAAGAAACACTGGACTTGGTCTGGAAAATGTGAAGAAGCTTGGTGATATTCTGGAAGAGCTAACTTTTTTACACACTATCTCCACCAGGCACTAGCAGTTTGTCTCCAACGAGAGCTCCTTCAGCTGCTGATCTCAAGCTGACAAGGAGTTTAATCCTGTAAACATAACACAATTGGCTGGTGTTAAATAACCAGAGACTACAGACAAGAATGAGCAATTTCCCAACACAGATTTCAGGTATATCTCACTGGTTCTATTTACCTTTGGGAAGCAGCTCCTAACACTTGCACAACCCTGAATAAAATGCTGTTTTAATGGCCAGATGCATTCCAAAGCTTGTCCTCCTCTGCAGCTCCATTCACTCCTCTTTGCTGAACAGTGAAATCCAGACAGCTGAGCAAAGGCATGATCATACATGGCAGGCCTGGGCCTCAGGGATGCCAAAATTCACTTTACAGTCTTCTGACAAGGTCAAAGTCACGACAAACACCAAAGGTCTGGCAGTTACCTTTCTGGTAACTGAGAAAAACAGGCTGTGCCTGTTTCACAATGGTCAAATAACTACCTGTGTTTATCTCCAATTCCAATACATTCATTGCCTTAAGACACAGACGTATAAACATAGAAAATTCATTTCAGTTTAGTAAGACAAAGCCTAATTTTCACATTAGGCACTAAAAATCTACAACCCTAAAAAATCTGAAGTTGCCCTTGGCTCATGTGTCCCCCGCACTTCCCAGCTGACACATCTTGTGGAAAGATGATTTTGGAAATACTCAAAGCAGCAAAGAGAAGAGGGGTGAATAACTCCCCTGTGCACTGAGAACTAAAAAAGCTGTTTACTTAAAATATTTTGTCATTACAAAGAGGATGGTTTGCTGGTAAAAACCAGCAAACCCAACAAACACACCACAAACAAAAACACCACAAACAAAAATCCCAAAGCCCCTCCACATCAAACAACCCCTCCACATTTCAGTATACCATCAGCAAGACTATTTAGAAAAAAACACAATTGTCTCCATCTTATTGCCAGTGCTGGTCTCAGAGAGATTGCCATCATTGAAGAGGCTCCACAGTAGTTTAGAAACACAGAAGTCACAAAGTATCAAATCTTTAAACAAACAGGAAATCAAACCTGACAGACAAACGATAAACAAACCATTGAACATCTGAGAAATAAAAAAGCAAAAAACAAGACCAGTTTTAGCACTGTCAGAAAATAGCAGTGAAGAATCCTTCTGCATGTTTATCAATACTCCCCAGTAATGAGCATCAGTTTCTAATAAAATAGCTTATGCACACTCTGCATTTAAAAATGTGTTAAAAAAACAGGAGAAAGGCAACACAGTCAGACAAGAGAGTGCTCAGTATTTACTTTTTCAAGTTACCTGAATAGAAGAAAAATGCAAATCAAGTGCTTATCACTGCTGTTATTCTGCAGAAATGTTGACTGCTTTCCTAAACTGCTTTTTAGTTACAAAGTTCTAAATACACACATGTACATGGACTCAAGGACTTTTTTCAGAGCAAAATGGTACTTCACAAGAGTTTATGCAGTAAAAATAAAGTGTAATCAGTATTTTTTCTCATTGCTCAGTAAGATTTTATTAGTTATTTCTGAGCTGTTTTATGTTTACACAAGTTCTGTAAGGTCTTCTCCACTTAGAGATACAAGTATAAAAAAGTTCCAAACATCAATAGATGAGTGCAATGATATTCAGTCTAAGTTAATCCCCAGACATCCAAATCCATGAATAAAAATTCATCAGTTTTAAATACACTGAGCCTATTAAGCAAGAACAAAAGCATATGCACAAAAGAGCTTTTAATATATTTCAAAGCCCACAAGAGCCATGGTCTCATTAAAATTATAAATTACACAAACATGGAATAAAGATTCAAACTGCAGTGCAGCTAAGCAGATTACAGCAAACCCCGCGTTCCATATGATAACACACCATGGCCCTCCCAGATGGGGGCTTGGAACAAAAAGGCCATCACTGCAGCTAGGGAAAACCTCCTTGTGATCTCTGCTTTCTGTTCAGCAGATGACAGCCAAATAATATGTTGATTATTCTGTTTGTGCTGCTAAGCTTGTAAGATGGAATAAAAGCGATATGATCTATTGTGAACTCCATGCTAATGTGTTGCTCCACTCATAAATAATATACTGAATTTATTCTGAAACTATCTTTTTATCTGACTTCCAGGTTTTAAATGCATGAACTAAAATAGAAAGCCAGCATAAGCTACTATTTAATTTGATGGTTTAAAATAAAAGATACAGCTGACACAATAATAAATGTGAAAACTGACTACTTAGGAATCAAATAAGTAGAGGTGCCTTCCTCCAATTTAGCAAATTATTCTAAGCTGAGGTGCTGAGCACGCTCCAGCCCCACAAACTGCACCCTCACTGATAGCAAACACATCACCAAGCATGGCTCATTTTACCACAGACATCCACCCACACAGAAGTTTCAAATGAGGACACAAATACCAGTAAAACAGAAAAGCAGTACAGAAAAAATCACTGTATAACTTCATTAGTACTGCCTCCCTGAATTGCTTCTTAAAAACTATTTAGGTTTTTAGTAAGTGATAAGATTTTATCTCATCTGCAATTGCTCATCTGGTTTCTTCCAAAAGTACAGAACGTGGCTTGCCCTTTCTTCCATAATATATTGCTTTTCTAAAAAGAAAACCAGTGACTGGTCATACATCTCCTTTCACAGATATTTTCTGCATGTTAAGAAGATTGATGATATTTCTATAACTTAAGGTTTGTGAATCTCAGTTCTTTTGTACCAGAAATGTTAAAAATTCTATTTAAAAAATCACTGTGGCTTGGCAACAGCATGAGAACACCAAGATCAAACAGTGCTTCATACTTTTTGGACCAATGGAAGAACAATCAAGAAACAAAGCACAAGGAAGCACGAAGCTCCAAGAATGTGCAACATTATTTGCAGAAAAATAAGAGCAAGGTGCAAAAAGAAAAAAAAGAAAAAGCTCCATTACCTTTCTTCCTCTGCTAAGGACACAGTCACAGCTGTAAATCACAGAAATATTGAAAGCATGGCTACTGAAGACACACAGGTATTCTAATAAACCTTAGGGCTAAATCTTCAGATTAATTACCTCCCCGTTGAAAAGAAAGAAAACATTCTATTCTTTCCACACAAAAATTAGTGAAGCTCACATTTCCGGCAGCACCCACAATTAAATTAAACTCACAATTCATTTTCAAGATTATTGTTCTGCAGGTTTCAGTGATATTGTGTGTCCCATTTGCAATACACTGAGTAACCACTTACAGGATTGTTATTTCTAGGACCTTGATAACATTTTGGTTTCCCTCAATCTGTTTCAGTATCTACAGTTTTAAATGTTAATTCATTTTTATTCCTTTTACATATATTATCTCACACAAAATGCAATTTAGTACAAGGGAGGGGGGAAATGGGAAAAAAATGGCAGCTCTGCTCCCAGATAGATGCCCCTGAAATGGGGTTCCCACAAATACAGCACTTCTGGCATGGAATTGGCAGGCTCAGTGTAGGGGATGGAAGCTGAATGCACTGAGATAAAGAATGATGATTTGCCAGCCTGGCTAAAAAAAAAACCAAAAAACAAACAAACAAAAAAAACAAACAAACAAAAAAAAAAAAACCCCAAAAAAACCAACCAGCAATTCAGTGCTTCCTGATGCTTTGTTTCACCAAAACATTATTCTAAATTCGAAGCAGTTTAAGTTTGCCTAAGTAGCCAGTTGTGAATCTGGCTTTACAATGAGTTTTACTAGGTTGCTTACTTGTCTTATATCCAGCTTTATAACTCACACTGAAAAATCTCAATTTTACTTCCTGACTACTTAAAGGCCAAAAATGCCTATTTTCTTCACCTGCCCCTCAGTGATGTAATTAGTTTCCCATTCTAGTCAAACTTTTTGAAGAGCAAGCAATACACATTTGTACAGAATTATTACTGTAGCACACCCTGGTTCACGCCGCACTCTGTGGATGACCAGAGTGCTGTGAAAGTTGGTGGGAGCTGAAATATCAAGCTAGCATTCCTGTCTGGAATATCTATGGGAGACAATAACCAGAAAACATCATTGGCCAGTACTCTGGAAACCTGAGGTTCCTTCCATGTTTGTGGGTCTCACCAGGAAGCATGAGAAATACAAGGAAAATAATCTCTATTAAATATAGCACTAATCTGTATGATGCTTATTAAGACACTAAATTAAACTCACAATTCACTTTCAATATTATTGTTCTGCAGGTTTCAGTAATATTATACTGTACAGTTCTGAAATTACAGAAACATAAAGTAAGTTTTAAAATAATTTCTTGTCTTCAGCAGATACTATTTTAATTCATGTCTCCTGATTTAGTTCTATTTTTAAAGAGCTGTTCAAATTTGACAAAGGTTTAATTTTTTTCCTGTTGCTCAGGATACCCACAAGGATAAATTTAGGTAACATTCAGAGGCTTCCTGGGTAAGATCTTATGTCTTATGAAATATCATACAACTGGCAAGTCCTAAACATTCCAACTAATTCTTTCATTTGCCACAGACTGACTGGATAAGCAGTCTTTAAGCTTTTTCACACTGAAAAAAAACCAGGCCTTTTGGTGTCAGAGCTTCCAGGATTAAACATTCTTTCCAGTTGTTGGCTCATGGCCTGAAGATCCTGCACTTTCAAACTTACCCCATTCTAGCTAGTTCAAAGATCAGGAAAATGAAGCCATCTTCTTTGCAGCCATAATCCACGACCCATGCTGTTAGATACTTAAGAACATCTCAAAAGCAAACTACCTTGTTTCAGCTGCCAGCAGGAGCTCAGCAGGGCGTGGGTCACATGATTGCAAGGCCAGCCTGCTCAGGTGACTCGGTGGCTAATCTGATTTGGTGACTATAAAACTTTAATCAGTACAGTCTAATACCAGCACATTCCACAACTGATGAGCCAAGCGGGCCGGCGATGGAACAGCAAACACTAATAAGATTATGAATCAGAACTGCCACTAGGATGTAGTGTTCTGGTTCTCTATCCCACATGTAAATCCTGCAGAAAAATATCACTGAAAAATGGTCTGGCAGACATTCATAAATGAAATAAATTTGACATAAAATGGGCTGGTGTTTTATTCCAAAATGAACAGCATTTTGTTCAAAGCCAAGAGCATACATGAATCTTACGCAGCACAATTAAAACCCAGCAAAACCATTGATTTGCAAGCAAAGGCAACTGAACACATCCCTCAATAACACCCTGTTGTTGAGGAACACTGCCCAGAAAATACTGCTAGTGTTAACTGGAGGCCCTATGAGCCCACATGGGTAATCCATGTGGTAAAGAGAGGCCAGGACAACTGTGCTTCCTCTTATTGATGCCTTCTGTCCCTGTGTGATCACCACAGACTGATGCCTTGTGAAGGCTGGCCTAGAGCAGAGGCTGGACAGAGCTAAAGAACAAAGCAGGGATTGATTAAAAGGATCTCCTCCATGGATCCCCCTTGGGCAGCACCAGAGCCCAGCCAGGGCTGCACCCAAGATGAACCAAAATGGTCCCAAAATGCACAAGCGCTCCCGGGGGCTCTCCCTGGGATCAGTTCTGCTCCATTGGCACCTTGGAGTTCATTGTCCCATTCCAGCTCCAGCCCAGGCAGTCCCATCCTGCTTGTTTTTCTCTCTCCAGCCCACGGTGTTTGTGCTCTTGGGGCTGAGATTTGGATCATTTGTCCTTGGTGCCCAGCTGGAGAAGGAATTGTTTTGTGTCCCTGCTCTGTGCAGGGAGCTCAGAAGTGCACACTAAAGCAGCTCAGAATGTGAAAAATAGAAAAGCTAAACCTGAGGCATCATTATCAACCACAAACAGCCAAATCACACTTCAAGAGCTGCTATTCTGGGGAAACAAGGATTTCCCCCAAGTGTGTAGGCTACAGTTTTCGAAAGGAAATGTCAAATGTTCTTGCAGATCAAATTCCAAGTATAACCTTTTCCTAAATGTTCTGATTGCTCTCTCACTCACCATTGCATTCCCTCCATTTTCTTTTTCCCTTAGGGAATTTTCACACCAAATCCTCTTAATCCATCTTAGAATCTGCATTTCCTACAGACAAGTAGCTGAATTGGACCAGCAAGTTTGCAAGAAGAGGAAAACAGAGAGCTTGATCTCTCCACAGCACAGTTAGAATTTGCAGTTAAAACTGACATCCCCATTTGACCAGGTCTAGGTGACAACATGTGAGCTGCGAGGAAGGAAAGCTGATTATTCCACAGTTTGAGACATCCCAAAATAGACAAAATATGTTTAAACACTCTCCAATGAGCTGGGTATGACCCCTGGCAATTGCGATAGCTCAGCTGAAAGAAATAACTTCCCAAGATACTTCCTGAGCACTGGAAATCATTCCCATGTTCCTTAGCTTCTCTGCATTTCCATTCCACCCCTAGAGCAGGAACAGGAGGGTTTATCTACCTCATAATGTGCATTTCAGGCTTAGGGTGATGTCTAGAATTACAGTCCCTGTGGTCTTGCTTTCTGCCAGACAGCATATTCTAGCTGGATCTCCCACAACAACTGAAAATTCAAAACTGGACATGTGCAAACCTTCAGTACCATTCCAAAAGACTGAAAAAACTATTGTTATTCCTGCAAATGAATCATCATTGATTTAAAAATAATTAACTAAAAGTAAATACAAAATTTAATTCCCATTAAATTAGCTCTTTCTCTGAAATTTGTCTGATACACAGGTAAAGACAGATGTTGTATGCAGTATTTTCATAAGCACATAAGCAGTTGGAAAGCTTTACTGTATTAAAATGTTAACATTTGAAAAATCCCCCACCTATCGAAAAATAGCTTATTTCCACTCACTTTCTAAATCAGTTGGACTTGAACTGCACCCATCAGGTTAAAATGTGACTGGGGAAAAATGAACAACACAGAACTACTGCTGTATTTTAAAAGTTCAGTTCTCATACTGAAAAAATTGTATCTACAATTTTGTTATATATGAAACAGTCTCTCCTGCTGTAAGTTACAATGTAAGACACCATTTCTCTGTATTTGGAAGGATATCTACAAAAAAAATTTGTAATAAAAATGTCACTTTATGTAAAAATCCTTTTTTTTTTTTAATGTAAAAATCCAATTTTTATTCTGAAATAACTACAAAGTTCCCAGCTAGCAAGAGCTGGGAGGTTGGGCTGCCCTTTTCCATGCAGCACCAGCTCACAGGACGGCACAAAGTAAAACTATGAAGAAAGTCAATCAAGAGCTCCAAGCCAGGTTAGGGAGCTCAATCAGCCCAAGGAGGGAACTGACCAGCACCAGGGTTTGCTGGATTGGAAAAGAAGAGGAGCAGGGAGTGAATTTCCTCTTTTGCAACCCTGACCCACTGGATCAGCTCCTGAGCCACTGAGATTGCCAGGAAATGTGCAGTTTATCCAAGAAACACTAAAAATGGCAGGGACATGGCACAATCGTCCCCATTTCCAAAATACTTTCATTATGTGTGTTCTCTTTGCAATAGGAAAAAGAAGAAAAAAAAAAAAAAAAAGAGAGAAGGAATTATTTAGCCTCCAATTTCAATTGGCCTGTAGGAAAATGAGGTTAAAAAAGTATAAAAAACCCTTACACGTGAGGCAAGCAGTAATGAAAGAACAAAAGAGAGGGCTCAGTCCTGGATGTATGTTCACCTATCCTGTGAAGTTAAGACAACCTACAATAGTGAATTTTAACTAAAAAAACAATAAAGCAATGAAATACTTTGTGTTAATTAAGTAAGAGAAGAAAATGTACTGCTTGGAATGGGCAAAAATCATCCCAGAGACTGAGTTCATCACTGGATTCTCTTTCTGACAGGCAAGCAGTGACTTATCAAAGATATCCTTATCACTGGGTCATGAGCTTCTGAAACAAAACTGTCCAACAGATATCCTGTGTCACACACACCTGCAATATGCAGGGACTGGGGCTCCAGGAGGACAGCACAGTAAGAAATGGCAGAGTCACTGTGATATTTAACAGTGGAGAAGTCTCCCTGCGCTTCAGGCTCCTCTTCAGTCAGACAGAATTCACTCCACTGGATCCCACTGACAGAAAGAGATGGCCAAACCCTTTTAGAAGAATTGTGAATTATGCTTTGGGTCTTTAGTTTGTTGGCCTTTCCTGTTCCAGATATTCACACCTCACTGTTCACATATTACAGAAGTGAAATTAAATACCTGTATTTAATTCTTGTAATGGTTTCCAAGCTTCTTTGATTTCCTCCTCTACAGACAGATACTTCTAACTTTCACTAAGCAAGAATCTATATTAAAAATTAAGTATTATTCACTATCTCACAGTTTAGCAGAAGATACAATACCCCTGATAAAAGATTTTGACCTGTTCACTGCTTAGCATGTGTGGAAGCTTGGCTAGCAGCAAAAAGAGCATCCTTTCCCCAGCTAGGGACACACCATGCTGAAGCTTCATGTCCCTGAATTTGAACTGGATATGAAGGAAACACTCTGAGGTTCAGGACTGCCCACATATTGCTGCTCTTTCATGCTGCTCATATTTAACACGAGGATTTTTTCCTCTCAATTAAAAAGAGACTCAAGAACCACAGGTGTTCAGCAATTTGGCTCAGAACAACAGTAAACATTGTTCATTGGAATTCAAGAGCGAGAGTGAGGGATTATAGTATTAACGCTTTGTTTTTCTATTCTGCTTGTACAAGTGTCTTCAAGCAGCTTGAGATGCATCTGAATCACCAACAGATGAAAAACAAACATAAAAATGCTTGTGGTAGTGGCTGTTCTGTATACTGACAGGGGCTCCCTTTGCTTTCAGAGCACCAGAACATAGAGCGTTGACTGACAAAGCAAGCATACTAGAACTTGTCAAAGCATTTTAATGTCGTTTAACTTTTTCCACGCTGATCTTGCTCCCAAGTTTAGGCATTACCCACACGCTCGCTACAGCTCCGTGGCTATGCACAAACAAGCAGAGACCCAAGTATACTCACGTACCACGTTACACGCAGTCATGGAAATAAATTTTACAAAGCACTTTTCCCTTGCAGGCTCTTTCCGAAGGGGCTGATGCCGCGCCGGGCGAGCCTGTCCGCCCACGGCCCGGCCCTGCACACACCCCGCGGCTATCCCCTCCACAGCACCCGTACCGCACTCCCCGCCCCGATCCGTGCCCGCTGCCGGCCCCCCAGCCCGGACACAGCCCCGGTGCCCTCAGCCCCAGGCACAGCCCCGATACCCCGGAGCCGCTCTCACCTCCCCGCTCGCCACCGGGCCCTCCGCCACCCCCCGGCTCCGCACGTGCCAACAACGCGGGCTCCCATTGGGCGGCGGCTCCCCGAGCCGCTCCCCCATTGGCGGATCCCGGCACGGCCCTCCCGGCCCCGACATGGCGGCGGCCGGCGGGGCGCGGGGCCGCACCAGCTTCCAGCGCCGGCCCGGGGCCGGCCCGCGGCCGCCCGCCCTGCCGGGCACCCGGCCCGCGCTGCGCCGCGGGCAGCTGCTGCTCTCCAGCGGGCTGCCCTCCCTGGACTGTGTGCTAGGTTGGTGGGAGCGGGACTGGGACCCGGTGCTGCGCCCCCGCCGCCCTCCCCTCTGCCGGGCCCTGCCCGCCCGTAACCCCCGGCTGCTCCCGAGCTTCTCCTTCCTCCCCTCGGTCCCGGGGGTCGCGGGGAGGGCGGCAGGGGCGGCGGGACGGGGGAGGCAGGGCGCGTTTCCCTGGCGCTTGCGAAGGAGCCGTGCCGCGCTGCCATCGCTCCGGGCAGCCTTGCGGAGCTGCCCCGGGGATGCGCCTGGCAGCGCACGGCTGGGCACTGCCCCGCGGCTTCTGCCGGGGCTTCGGCTGGAAAGGCCGGGTGTGCTGCCAGGGTTCGGCTGGAAAGGCCGGGTGTGCTGCCAGGGTTTCGGCTGGAAAGGCCGTGCGGAGCTGCCACGTTTTCTCCTGGACTAGCTGTGAGTGCTGCCAGGGTTTCTGCCAGGATTTTGGCTGGAAAAGCTGTGTGTGCCACCAGGGTTTCTGCCAGGGTTTCTCCTGGACAAGCCGTGTGTGCCACCAGGGTTTCTGCCAAGGTTTCAGCTGGAAAAGCCGTGTGTGCCGCCAGGGTTTCTGCCAGGGTTTCTCCTGGACAAGCCATGTGTGCCACCAGGGTTTCGCCTGGACAAGCCATGTGTGCTGCCAGGGTTTCTGCCAGGATTTTGGCTGGAAAAGCTGTGTGTGCCACCAGGGTTTCTGCCAGGGTTATTCCTGGACAAGCCATGTGTGCCACCAGCGTTTCTCCTGGACAAGCCATGTGTGCCACCAGGGTTTCTGCCAGGGTTATTCCTGGACAAGCCATGTGTGCCACCAGGGTTTCTCCTGGAAAAGCCATGTGTGCCACCAGGGTTTCTCCTGGAAAAGCCATGTGTGCCACCAGGGTTTCGCCTGGGCAAGCCATGTGTGCCACCAGGGTTTCGCCTGGGCAAGCCATGTGTGCCACCAGGGTTTCGCCTGGGCAAGCCATGTGTGCCACCAGGGTTTCTGCCAGGATTTTGGCTGAAAAAGCCATGTGTGCCACCAGGGTTTCTGCCAGGGTTTCTCCTGGACAAGCCGTGTGTGCTGCCAGGGTTTCTCCTGGACAAGCCGTGTGTGCTGCCAGGGTTTCTCCTGGACAAGCCGTGTGTGCTGCCAGGGTTTCTCCTGGACAAGCCGTGTGTGCTGCCAGGGTTTCTCCTGGACAAGCTATGTGTGCCACCAGGGTTTCTGCCAGGGTTTCTCCTGGACAAGCCGCGTGTGCTGCATGAAGACCAGGTAGTTCGTGTTCTCTGCTGCGGCAGGTGTTGGGATGTTCTCAGTTTGTCCTTTCCGCCTTGCTCGCCACTGCTGCACCATTAAAGTTCCCCCCTTAGATAAACCGCTCTGGTTTTGCTGTCTGCGGGTCTGCCTTTGCCTGCTGTCCGTGTCGGGGTGTGAGATAGTCCCCTGGACTCCTCTCTTGTGGCTGCTGGACCATCCGTGAGGTGAGCTGGCACTTCCCCTTGGATTGGAAGTTCATTCTTTTGCTGGTGTAAGCAGCGTGGTTTATCTGTGTGCACCAGGGCTGGGTGATCCTCTAACTCTTCACACAGTTGCAATGCATCTTTGATGTACACACATGGGACTTTTAGGTGAGAATGGTCTGATTTTAGCTTCCTTCATTCATCCTTGGAGTACACAGAATATGCAATTTTTCTCTCTAGGGATACTCTGTATGATTAATGATAATATAAAAGCTACATCCATTGTACGAAGAACTTTTTGCAGCCTGTATATAATTTTGTGTGTGTGTGTGTTTCTGCACTTTTATCAAGGATTAGGATCATTGTGGAGGAAGCTCTTGCTGCCTGAGAGAGAAATATTTCATTTAGTGAGTGTACTTTGCAAAGCCTTTTAATTGCATGAAAAGCAGATTTGCATTGACTATTCCCTTTTAGATACAGTGGATTTTGTACAGCATAGCTCAGAAGATGTAGACAGCTCCTGTGGTGCAAGTCTCCTAAAATTCTAGGCACCTGCTAACACAGTTAGTGTTTTGTTATGGAAACTGAGGACACTTCTAATAAACCCAGGATCCCTTCTATGTTTTCCTTGTCTTTTAAGTATTTCATAATTTCCCGAGCTTACTAATAGTTATACTTCACCATCAAAGAAATTCCTTGTCCCGAGGAGCAGCAACTTCTGAAAGTACTTTTAGATGTTTTTTTCTGGGTTGTGGCATCTCTGAAAACCTGGACTCTACCATTCCTATGTTAAACCTGGAGTAGCCTCCTAGCCCTGAAATCCCTGATTTTTGGAGGGTGATTGGAGAATGGGAAAAGAGGAGGCCAAGAAAGACTCATGCTAAGCATGCTGAATAGACTCCAGTTCCAACTGGTGCCAGGCATGTTGGAACACACCTCCAGGTGGGTGAACTGTACGGAATCACTCATTTTGGAGGCTGAGGAGGGACATCAAGAATTCCCCTCTGCAGCCTTAAAGCAGGCTCAGCTCTGAATTCAGAGCAGATTGCTCAGGGCTTTGTCCAGTGGAAAATCTGCAGTGGCAGAGATTTTGCAGCACCTCAAGATAACCCAGTCCAATGATTAATTATTTTTGTAGGGAATTTTCTTCTTCCTTATATCCACTGGAAACCTCCCCTGTTTCAGTTCCCGTTTGTTGCTTTTTGCCTTCTCGGTTCACCTCAGTGAAGAGCTCAGCTGTAGTTGTGGAGTCTTTGATTCTTCTCTACCAAGGTCAGGATTAAATGTGTGAGATGGTATTTCTTGTTGGGACTCAGATGTTTATTAGTTCTTCTTCTGCAGTCTCAGCAACCCTGAGTTCTACAGCACTTCACTCTAACAAACTAAAAATGGAGCCCTATCTCCCTCTCTGCAAGGCCTTTTAAGGATAAACTGTCCAATTAAGAAATGACACCTAAATTATTTTTACTTTTAACTTAATAACCAATCACACACTGTGGACTTTTTTATCGAATTTCACAAAACCACCCAAACCCATGGAGAAGAAGGAGAAGGACCAGCCACTGCACTAAACCTCCATCTTGCTTAATATCTATTACTGTGTTCTAAACCCTTAAACTCTGAGTTTTCCACCCTGTGATGTTACACACTTCTATTCAAACTCCACACCCACAATCCCAGTTCTATCATTCCATTTTGGAAGCTTCTCCACAGCCTCAGGTCAAATGCAGAGTTCTCCTGGGGGTCAGTGCCTGTCAGCACAGAAAGTCTGAAATTCTCAGCAGCCAGGGCTCCTGCCAGCAGAGTGTCAGTAGCTTCTCTTGGGTACCACCCCAGGACCTTCAGCTTTTCCTCTCTTCTCCAGACTGAACAAGCCCACTTCCTTCAGGCACTTCTCTTGAATCAGTTGCCCCATTTTCATTCCCCTCCCTGGACTCACTTCAGTTTACCTTTATTCTCTCTTGAACGGAGGGGCTCAAAGTCATCTGGGCCTGCTGTTCAAGATGTGATCTGAGTAAAGGGGAACATCCTTGGGGCATCTGATTGAGCCTCTGATGGTGCTGATGCCTTGGGAAGGCTGACCTAGAACATGGGCTGGACAGAGCTACAGAATAAAGCAGGGATTGATTAAAAGGATCTCCTCCATGGATCCCCCTTGGGCAGCACCAGAGCCCAGCCAGGGCTGCACCCAAGATGAACCAAAATGGTCCCAAAATGCACGAGCGCTCCCGGGGGCTCTCCCTGGGATCAGTTCTGCTCCATTGGCACCTTGGAGTTCATTGTCCCATTCCAGCTCCAGCCCAGGCAGTCCCATCCTGCTTGTTTTTCTCTCTCCAGCCCACGGTGTTTGTGCTCTTGGGGCTGAGATTTGGATCATTTGTCCTTGGTGCCCAGCTGGAGAAGGAATTGTTTTGTGTCCCTGCTCTGTGCAGAGCTCAGCATCCCCTCATGTGAAGCTCAGAAGTGCACAGTAAAGCAGCACAGAATGTGAAAAATAGAAAAGCTACACCTGAGGCATCTCAGTGCAGCCCACTGTGCTGGTAACTCTAGGAGTGCTGACTTGGTCTCCTTTGTGCCCTTTTTCTGGGTGTGGAAATGCTTCATGAATGTGTTGCACAATGCTGTTTATGTGTTTCTGACAGAATACTGGTACTTTTCTTCTTTTGTCTTGCCCATTCGCAGTCAGATAATTGACTGTAAAAATACTGAATTTTTATTTCCAGGAACTGAGGATATCTCTTTTTTTGGTATAAATTCCCAGTTGAAGTTACTATGAACTCTTTTAGTCTGGTGTTTTCATAGACTTACTTCGTAACAGTCACTAGGCAGTTTTGTAGATCTCCGGATTGGGCTTGTATTTAAGTTTGCTCTGTTCAGAATCTGTAACCCAGATACAGAATTATTTGCCAGACTTGAAAGTGCAGCCTGTGAGTGAGGGGAAGCATGGTGTTATCACACACAGGTCTAATGAGCAGCTTCTGAAGAGAGGAAAAGGCAAAGAATCCAAGGAGGAGTTTCTTTCACGCTGCAGCTGATGGTGAGCGACATTGTGGCTCACTCTAAAGGGGTGACTCTTTTGGAAGTGAAGTGGTAGATAAGTGCTGGATTTCAAATGCAGTGTTACCATCAGAGCACTATGCACTTCCAGACTTTATATATATTTTATTTATTTTAGAAATGTTTATTTTATAGATTTATACGTTTTATATTTATAAATATCTAATATTTATTTTTGTAAGTGTACTTTCAAGGTTTATGGGCCATATATGCCTGATGTGTGCCAGAGCAGTTCTCTGCAATGAGCTACAACTTGTGTAATACAACCATCACATGCCTGGTATTGAATGTTTTGTTTCAGGCTGCTGGAAAAAAGGTCAGGGATATGCTTTGGAAACAATCTGGGCACTTCTCAGCTTGCAAAGTTTGTTGTGTTTCTCTCCATAAGGTCTTAAATCTCTCTGCTGTAAGTAGCAATGAGGAAAGTTACAAGTCTTGCTTACATGTTTACATATTCTGCTGCCTTACATACTGGCAAAGGAAAATTAAAATAGCGAGATTAGGAAGAATAACAAGTTCACAGCAGCTTTCTTGGACAACTTATAGATTTTGCTTATTCCTTTTGATTCCATCAGCTTTCCTGTTGCCTTTTGTTTAATTTACTAGTATTGTGGCTCGTTGTAATCTGAAGGTGTAACCATGGTAACTGCAATACTTTTGCATTCCCTCTAATAGAAGACACTTGTTCAAAGCACTCGCTACATCTGATAACATAAAGACAATGCTCTGACCTGAGTTTGCCTTTAACAACCAGGGTGTATGCGCATATGTTACAGCTCTGGCTTGTAGAAACAGTACCATTGGTGATCTGAAAATACAGCTTAAGAGAATTTTGGCTGCACTGTTTGTCAAATTCACTGTAAAAGCACAAGAGATGCTACTTCTGTCGTGACTACAAGTGAACTTTTTTCTAACCAAGGTTTTAAAGTCCTTATTGTCATGAGGTAATACATTACTTATGACTGCTTTAATCATATTTTCTGTCAACCTAGGATTTGGTAAAATCTCAGCATTTGGAGTACGTTTTCTTTCCTAGGGGCTGTATAGAGCATGTGCTCATTTTCAACAACTGGGTTGTTAGTAACCCATGTGTTCTGTCTCCCTGAACTATTAAATGCAGTGAAGCATACTTTTTATCAAACATCAGTATGGTTTTAGATTTTGATCTTTTTTTTTTTTTTTCTTTTGCTTTCCCCTGTGGTACATATTTTGTATTTATCTCCTGAACAAAAAAATGGAACAAAAATCATTGGCTTAGAACATGGGGATCTGATGAGTGATTTTAACTTTCTAATAAACAACAGTTAAAATTGTTTTGGTTTGGTTTTTTTAATATCTAGAAAATGACTAATTACCTGATCAGCTTGCTGTAGATATTGAAGCACTTGTACAGCTTGACTCAGGAGTTTAGCTTGAAACATCTGCTTCTCTGTAACTATGAAATTAGTAACTGACTGGACTTTCACTACCCAGTACTGCTCAAATTGTGGTGCATCATGGCATGATGGCAAAGTGATCCTGTTCTGGTTTTAATTCGGGTGCTATAATGCAACAATATTAGCATGTTTTGCCTTTGGGAGAGCAATTTGCTTTTTTTTCTTCCTTTTGGATATATCAACATTACAGGTACTGCAGGTATTTGTAGTCCCACTAGCAAAACTGAAGATTAAGAAGTTGATCCAACTCATATTGGAATCAATTTCTAGTGGAGCTTATTGAGCTCTTACCAATGTATAAAATGAAAGGTCTTCTCCACTGGAGTCCATCTGTGCAGTCCAGAATTGACTTCTGGATCTTTGCATACTGTGCTGATAGGATTCATCAATTAGTTTGCTCCTAAATATAATCAGTATAAAATTGCAGACAAAATCCTGCAGCTTTCATGCAAAACTCTTCTGTAGGCTGGTTACATGAGGCCATCTGAACACTTCCAGGGAATTTTAGCTTTCCTGTCACAGTCTTATATAATTGCTAAACAAAGTAGTTTGATTTCAGGTTTTATATATATATATATATATATATATATATATATATATATATATATATATATTTCACTATTGTAATTCTTGGAATTCAGATTATAAACCAGTGTAGTCTTTCCCTAAAATAAAATATGAGTTCTTCTTTCACTGTCCTTGTAAATAAACAAACCAACTGTCCTTGTAAAAGAATTCATGGAGTTATTATGTCCAAGACCTACTATAAAGGACTTTAATCTCTTCAGTAGTGCATGTTTGTTCATTGTGTGTGTTGTGATATTTACGATCTCTCAGTCCAGGTTTCAATGGGTGAGTTTTGCTGCCATATCAGTTTTCAGCAGTAATACAAAAAGCAAGAAAGAAAAAAGCAGAGCCAAGATTTTGCCTTAAAGACTTGGGGGGGAATTTGCTAAAATCTACTAAAATCTTAGTAGGTCACTCAGCTTACATCCTTCTTGATACAAAGGAATATTATTTGATAGTGGTTAATACTAATTTAATTTAGAGAATGTTTGCTCATGTGAGTCATCCCAGTAAAAATCTGCTGGCTCAGACCATGCATCACCACTGTAGTACTGGAGCATGGTTGTGTAGAGCTCTGCGGGATCTTTTTACTACAATGATGATAGCACAGTATATTGTGAAAGTAATTGTAATGTGCAGTATATAATTACATGTAATGTATAATTATTTCATAATAGAGAATTGTAGTAAGTATTGCAAAGGTAATTAAAATGTTGTTCATTTTTATATTTTTAAATTCCCCGTTATCACCTTTCTTTGACTTATAAACTAAGAAAAGTTAATTGTTCTCTAACATAGTATTAAAATGTAGACTTACTTTATTCTTCATTTTGTTTTGTTTCCAGGTGGAGGCGTAGCTGTTGGAACCCTTCTTCTTATTGGTTAGTATAGAATATATAGATTCTTAAAGCCATATTCTGGGGCTTTTCACTCTTTGATGTATTCATTAAACAACCTCTCTTTTCGCTGTTTTTTGAAGTCACACTTTAGAAAATTATAACTCTCAGGTTCCTTCACTTTGTGTAGCCTTCAGAATGGACTGTTGTCTATCTCAGGAATTACTGGAGGTGAATCAAAATCTTAATTTTAGGCAGGCTTGAGCACCCACAAAGAATACGCCAGAAATCTGTTGAAAACAGGGTGCTTAGCACATTTCAGGACTTACTAGCAGAGTACACACATTAGTTAAGATGTTGTAAACTGTGTATCATCACAAAGGTTTTTGGTTTTTTGTTTTTTTTTTTTTTAATTTGGCTGTCTGAGGAAGATGTGCAATGCAGAACCTTTGAATCTTTTGGTTGCCAGAATCAGCTGAGAGCGAGGTGATTGAAGGCTGCTTTCTGTCAGGGTGTGGATGAGGCACACTGAGGTGATTATTTTAAATAGATTACACCAGAATTCCCTTTACAGACCACAGTGCAACTCTCTGGCACCATCTCCATTGCAGCCGAGGTGTCCAGCTTTCCTTTCTGTTTGACTGAGTTGACACAAAACCAGCAGAAAAATTAAGAATTCTTGTATTAATCTCCACCCTGAAGGAGTGCTTGAATCTCATAATTGAGAACAGTGACTAGATTTCAGCCTTGCTTAGGGACAAAGCAGACTGCCACATGCCTGGGTGATTTGGGTGGTTTCAAAGAAGTTGTGCCTGTAGAGTATTTTAAGAGCCTGCTTGTCTCTAGTGATACAAGCTCTTCAGAGTGTGGCTTTTCAGCCTTGAGACAGATTGAATCAGTAATTTTTATTCATTTTCTAAAAGGGATGAAAATGAAAACATTGTGGTCTGAATATTTTATCTGTTTTTACTTTCCCTGTGGAAAGACAACCATTGCTTGGGAAACTGAGTTTGTATCTAGAGTTTTGGTTATGTATTTTGAATTGTTACAATTCAAAAACTCGTCTTAACACTAAAAATCCAAACAGTGGGATTTAGGGAAAACTTACTTGAAATCTCTTTTAGCCACCATTAGAATTAGAGCATGTTACTTTCTGTTGGTATAGGGCTCATGTAACCTGCACTAGAGACTGAATAAAATTTTCTGTTTGCCACTGAGGAAGGTAATTACTCTCACTGTGGCTTCTTGTTATTTCAAAGCTAGTCTCTATTTCTGCATTTGATCCATTAGAGACAGTTATTGATGTGCCACTGAGTCTTAGAAAATGTTAATTTTTATATAAAATATATAAATTAGTGTATGGTGTGGTGCAGATTAAGTAATTTGAAAAGTTACTTGCCAGAAAAAATAACTGAAGTTACCTAGTTCCAATATTTTCAATTTTGAAGAGCTGCAATCTTGCTGTGGTAAAGGAAGAAGAAGAAAGTTAGAACCTATTCTGTTTTACGTAAATCAGTGATTGTGGGACTGGATTAATTTTGTCTTGCATTACAATATTCACTGCCCCTTCCAGTAGACAGCCTGGGTGGCATCCAATGAACCTACTAGCAGGAAGATAGTCCTTAAATTGAAGAAGTAGTGCAATATTTCACCATAGGGTGTTGTGGATGTGGAAAATAGTCGTGTGGATGCTGATGGCTCAATGGAAGATTTTTCCTGAAAGGATTTTTTACCTGAACTTTGTTTCCTGAAATTTGCTTATCCTCTGTGGTGGTTGTGTATTTGTGATCTGATCTAAAATTTAGCTTGAGGATGTCTCTTTTAGATCTGAAAAAGAATTTTTTTTTTCCCCAAATGAGACTTACCATATGCTATTTCAAAACACATAATTATATACAAAAAGTCTTCAAGCAGGAACTATATTTATTCATGACTCCGTAGTCTAAAAATTTGGAGACTGATTTTTAAAGTTGGTGTGGGTAACATTGGAATGGCATTGTTAGAATATCCTGTCAGCACACCAAGAAATTTTGTCATGAGATTAGTCTAGGCAAGCTTAATATTATCAGGATTGAAGCTGTCAGTGATAAACCTCCTAGGAAGATCTTTCTGTGTTATACTCCAAGTGTTAGAAAAAGGTTAAATTCTTCCCCTTCCTTCAACATTCTCTAAGGTGAGAATAAATTGAATTACTTTTAGCTTAGCTCCCTTTGCAAATTAAATGCTCATCTTCATTATTTGACGCATTATCTTGGTTAATTTAACCAAATAATAGTAGATTCAGGGTATTAAAATATTTATTTGAACTGTTGTGTTCTGAAGATATAGTGATGGCACAGGTTATTTGATAAGACTGTAAAATACTGTTTGAAATAGAAGTGTGCAAGTTTTTGAACTCAATTCATAATAAAGAGCATTGTGATTTTCAGTTGAGCTTAATTCTATAGTATATTCTTTTGACAGTGTTTTAATTATATGAAAATTAGAGAGTTGGAGCACATGGTATTCTCATGGAAGATCCTACCTACCAGAGCATCTTGAAACTTCCTGAGGTTTGTTCATCTAACAAGAATTAGGGTTTTAACTAGTGCTTTAGGTTAAAAAATCCTTGCAGTGGTGGGCTTCTGAGAAGCATTTTGATGTGGAACCCCATCAAAGCAGCTTGTTCAGTATGGATGTGAGATCATGTTTGTGGTTTCATCTGAACCTGCTGCAGAAGAGGAGCTTCCCAGAAGTCCCCCTTCTCAAAGCAAACAAGTAAAATAAGCACACTCCTTCCCTTCTCCACTCCAGTGTTCTTCAAGTTGTTGCATGTGTGTTTTGCCAGGCCAGGAAGAGTTTGCAGGAGGATATTTTGGTTTAAAATTATTTTTATTATGATGATAATAATAATATATTTTATAATATATATTTATTAATAAAGCATATAATATATAATCGATGTTTTAATTAATATATTACTATATAATAACGTATCATTATTGTAATTATTTTAATTTTTGGTTTTTAATTTATTTTTTTAAACAATTTTAAATTGTTATTTGGTTTTAAAGGTAAGCTTTGTTTATATAAGACATTCTGCATAGTGGGCTGTAGCACCCTTACTAGAGGTGTCCTGGGCACCCTGTAAGAACCTATTCTTGCTTACCTTTAAAAGCCCCAGTTTTGACAAGGTCACTGATAGCTAAATGTTTTGAAGATTTTCAGTAGGAGGGGTTTTGTTGGTAGCTGAGGTCAGTTATTAAAAGTTAAAGTTGTCTGGTGAAAAGCAGGTCTATACTTGTACATTTTAAGCCTTGAAGCAGTTTCAGCTACTTTAATTAGCTACTTTTATTTTTGTTAGGCATGCAGTTTAACCTAACTGGTAAGAGCTCTCTTCACTTGTCAATATAACTGAATTTATCATCTTTTTAAAGCTGAAAAAGATAATCTCAAGAGAGCTACAAAACAGTGATTTGCTAAATATAATTCTACAAAATATCAGTTAGCAGAATTCACCTTCCTGAAGTATGGCTAAATGCCAAATATTGTAACTTGTGTGTTTGACAACTCTGGTTTGGCATGTGCTAATTAAATGCAAGTGACACAAAGTATATCCCCTCAAGCTTAGTAAATGTGGACATTAGAAAAGTATCTTTTAAATGGAATTTCAGATTATTAAAATGATCTCATTTTATAACCTGCAGCAATTTAGAGAGATGTTTCATAGCTAGAGAAAGACACACCTTAGGTCACAGGACCACAATGCAGAGCTATCTATCTGGTAAAAAAATTATCAATACTGATAGGCTATGACAGGCTTTTGGCAGCTTTAGGGCAACCTGTCTAGACTTTGTAGAGAAAAAAAAAGTAAGCCATCTGTACATCACATTGTTGCAGGCTTAATTTTCCTCTTCCAGCTCTCATTATTTTAAGCAATAATACTACAAATGACCACTGGAGTTTTTCAAAGACCTTCATGCTGTTTTATATAGTGATGTTTGAAAGTCAGGTATTGTAAAAGCAGTACTTATAGATATGGTATTTGTTACCTTACAGTGGATTTTGTCCCTGACTTTTTCTTCTTCTTCCAGTTCTAGTGCTTATTCTGCATCCCTCTCTTGGAACATGAATGCCTCTGTGCAGAGGGAGTTTTTCCTTAAGGTCACATGGATACATATCAATAATTCTGTAATTAGATTTGTTTCCCTAATTTTCAAATAAATTCTATTTATACAGTGCCTCACACATATCTGCTCTCTTTTGTTTTCTGTGCCCTAGATAAAAGATTCTATACCTAATTCTATGACCCACGAATTTCTTTGAGTAGGACAGGTGTGGAGAAATGTCCCTTATGTATTTGGTAGCCTGTTGGAACCCTGGTTACTGAAAATTTTAGACTTTCTCTGCTGACAAGCACTGACCCCCAAGAGAACACAGCATTTCACCTGAGACTGTAGAAAAGACTTGCAAAATTGAATGATAAAACTGAGATTATAAGTGTGTAGTTTAAATAGAAGTGTCTACTATTACATAGCAGAAAACTTAGAGTTTTACATTTTAGTATATAGTAATATATATAAAACAAGATAGAAGTTTTAGGGTGGAGGCTGGTCCTTCTTCTTCACCTTCTTCTTCATAGATTTGAGTAGTATAGTGTAATTAGATTTAAAAAATCCACATTGTGGATGAGTAGTTAGTTATTAGGTTAGAAATAAAAATAATTTCAGTGTCATTTCTTAATTAGGCAGTTTATCCTTAAAACACTTTGTAGAGAGAGAGATAGGGCTCCATTTTTAGTTTATTGAAGTACTGCAGAACACATAGTTTGTGAGACTGGAACAGAGATAAGAACTAACAAACATCTGAGTCTGACAAGAAATACCATCTTACATATTTAATCCCAACCCTACAAAAAATGCAAATCCTCCCTAGTAGCCTATACAGTGCAGTGCTGAAAAGACCCATGAATAGGAATTGGTCTTTATCCTTAGTGTTCAGCTATAAGTTTATATGGGGGAATTCACTGTGCTCACAGTGACAATCCTGCTCTTTCTCCATGACTGTTTCAGCCAGGAAAGCACACTCATGTGGAAAGAGAGCCATGGATAGCCATCCCAACAGACTATTTTATTTATGTCCTTATCTGTAGGATCAGAAGAGCTTTTGTCCTGGAGACAATATGCATAACTTCTAGGTAAATAATCTCTTTTCCTTGTGTAGTTTCACACTTCACTAGTTACTCACCTGCTCCTTAGCTGGAGAACACTCTTTGTTCCAAAAGAATCAGAGAAGGCTGCACAGTGCCATTGACTTTTCTGGACCCAGAAAAGAGACTGCTGCTGCAAGAGTATGTGCCTTAGTAGCTGGAAGTGAAGTTCACAATGAAGGGCCAGCTCTTTAGTGTGCAGGCTGAGACTAAAGATTTGAGCCAGGCTTTTCCTGAGTATTGACTAAAATAGTCTGAAATGTTAGTTCCTACGTGTACTGAGTGAAGGTAGTTCTTTTGGATGTGGAGGAGTTTGGAAAGATAAAGGTGACAGTTGAAAATTTATCCTAGCCAATCAAATGCTAAGTCCAAGCATTCTCAGGAAAGCATTTCATTCTGGGATTCTATGAAGGTGATCAGTGAGCTGCTGAAGTAGCTGTGCTAAATGATTTGTTTATTTACAAGAAGAAAGCTGTACTCCCTTGGTTTTGAATAGTAACTATTGAAGCCAGGGTACAATGGATGCTATCAGAAAAGCCCCATATGGATGCACTTTAGATCTTTTGAATACCACAAAAGTTTAGTGACCTAGAAATTAATCAATAAAAAGCATCCTCTATCTGACAAATTGAAGAACTGAGGAATTCTTACAATGCATTGGCTTTAACAATTCCAGAAGCACTGTTTGTAAAGGCTTTCTGAGACACATCTAATCCTTAGAGTACTGTAGGAGACTATGAGGTGGTTTATATTTAGATCACTTTCCAATTGTTGATTTAATTTTTTTACTGCAAGTTTACTCTTATGAAAATCAATTCAGGAAGAAAGGAAAGGCTTTTGTTAAAATTATGTGTCCTTACACTGAATGTGTTTTTAACTTGCTAACTTGAACATTCCTTGTTGTTTTGCAAAATATGTTTTGGAAGGGTATGGCAGTGTAAGAACCTCTCTAGGCCTGATATATTGCAAATAAATCAATGAATCAACAAAATAAATTATAATCTTCAATTATTCAGTTAAAAGGTTTATATCCCTGTTCTTCATTGTTTTACTTCTACAATATGTTTGAACATCTCAGCATTTCAAATAAAATCTGAGAAAAATTTTTCTTAACTGTTACAGCCGTATTTCTTCTTAGCTTAGTTAAGTAATCATCAACACATTGTATGATATCTTGTATTTATCCATGATTTATGGAGTTTCTCTGTTATGTTTGGCAGAAAAAACTGAGTATGTTCTATACTTTCTAAGGAATAATTAGTATCAAAAATGATAATCCAGGAAGACTCTCTGTACAGTTGTACACACAGACTCAAGCAGCAAAACACTTGGACTAAACGAGATATTTTCTTATATTCCATTAAATGTCAGTTAAATACATATCAACTCAGTGTTTCTGTGCCTCAGATGGTGAAGAAGGTGAACTTTAACCTGTAGATAAAAATTGAGAACCCAAGATTTTTCATTTAGTAAGGATGATGTACATGTTACAGCTGAGGATCCTTCCAGAATGCTGATGAGTGTTCCTTTCCCTCTTTTGTTCAAAGGGAGAGAGATCTAACAAAAGTGTCTCCTTCCAGTGACATCTGCCACAGTGATATGATTACACAGGAGCCTTGGTGGCTGCTTTCAGGTACCTCAGACAATTTTAAAAAAATGTAGATCTCATGCTGCCACTTTGATTTCTGGAGGTCTTTGCTTCTTAAATTGAGATCTTCACAGTTGGAGATTAGCACATGGAAATCAATATAGTGTGAATAATATATTACTGATAATAATGCAGGAAGAAAAACTAAAGAGAGCCAATGTTTGAGGGGGCAGAAGCTGTTGGTGGTCTGGACTCCAGTTACAAGGGCCACTTACTCAGCATAGGAATTTTATTTCCCTCTAGAAACAGTTTAAGATTTAAGCAGGCTCCAAAGACTGTATTTACAAAATGCAACCATAATGCTTCTTCAAAACCTTGGGTAGTGGCAGTTGTTGGGTTTTTTTCTGCAATGGGAGTGTTTCAGTTCTATCTCATTGAGCTTTGTGTCCACCTGAGTCTCACACCTGGTTCTACATCCTCAGTCCCATCCCTGAGTTAGTAGGAAGGCAGTTCTTCAGTTACACTAATAATGGCTTTATAAGGATGCAAGAGTAAACTGGATCTAATTTAATCAAAAGCTCCAAATTCTCAAGTAAATTGCAGTTTGGGAATCCGTCCTGGTGAAATTTTGATAAGGAACCCAGTAGTGTCACCAGTAAGCTTTTGTCAGTCCTGTGCTTTTTATGATTCAGAACTCTCCATATTTGTCACAAGACCCTTCTTTAAAAAAAAAAAAATTCAATGTGTTATTGCAAGTACATTGGAGGCTAATATGGCCTCCTAAGCAGGTCAACAGTATCAAAGGTAAGTTCTATTAATACAATCTAAGCTCTTAAAACCCTAAGACTCTACAACAAACTGCAGAGTGGCTAGTACTAGTAGTAAGAGTGTTGTAATTATTGTATTGCCTTTGGCTTATTTGGCTTATCCAGTTTTATGCAATTTCCTGTCTTAGTGACTGGAGTATGAAACATTTTTCTCTATTTTGAGCTACTGCTTTAGAGTAATTTTCAGTAACTCTGCTATCCCAAATACTGAATTTTAAAGTGCAATTTAAAAAAACAGGAAATAAATTCTGTTTTACCTAATATCCCATGGAGGTTGGAGAATATCTCTTGGAGAACTGGGTTTTCTCCTGTGGTTTTGAACACTTGTGGTTTGAATTTCTTGTTAATCTAAGCACTGAGAGTATCAGTACACATGCAAGTATTAGGACTGTAGCAGTGCAACAATACTGTGATTTGTTTCCTAAGTTTCCCCATTGCTGTTAGTTTTCCTTTTCCTAATGGATATACACTTTCCTTCTTTCCTTTTCTCCTTCACTCCATTGATTCATTTTGATTGAGGGACATGTCAAAGTTAGAGTATTTTTATTTTACTCTTTACTGTTTTTTGCAAGTTAGATATGAATGACAATTTTTTTTCCTCTGTCTTTGTTACTGTTTTTTTTTATTTTTAATTTTATTTCATATGTGTAGTTAGGAAATATTTTACAAGTCACACAAAGAGTTTTCTTTGTTTTCTGTATAAAGAAATATCTCTCTGTATTTTGCTGCCTCAGCATCCCTGTGTGTTGTCTTTCAGCCAGATTAAGAGATGAAAAAATGAAACCTAATGTAGCTCATTTACTTTTCTCCCCAAAACCATAAAAAGTATTAACAGTGCTATTGTTGCTACTTCCTGCAAATAAAGAACATCAGAGATGGTTCCGATTTCAGTTGTTTTGCACACATCCACTTCCCATAATTGTGCTGAGTTTTCATTGTATGAGTTCGTTAAGACTTCCTAATTCTGGTAATTTTTGACACTTAACTTGCTCCAGGGAAGCTGAAGGAAATGCTGGTCTTTCTGAAGTCAGAGTTTGTATTTTCATTTCAGTGGGCCAGTATTCTCAATGTCTGCTAACAAGTATTGTCTCACTGCTTAAAGTGCAAATTCACGAGTCTTTTGAATTTCTTCTGATTTTGCTCTGGTTAGGTTTCAAAAACAGCATTGCTAATTGTTTGGTTTCTTTGTAATTGTTTGGTTTTTGTAATTTTCACAACTTTGGAAGAAGTTCAGACATAAGAATGTCTCTATTCTGGATGCTACCTCTGTATAGGCTTAGCAAGCCAAATATGGCTGAATTTTGAAAAGCATCAGGTAACAAATATTTGAAGCACTAAGAATATAAACATATTTCTCCTAAATTAAGGAACCCCCTTCCATTAATCCATAAATTCTAGCCATCTTAGTTGATACTTATGGGAAGCCTTGTGAGGAGGCTGTATCCCATCCATATGTTAGAATCAAATGCCTTATTGAGGACTATTCCTCTGGCTTAAAAAATTTGACATACAGTATTATCAAGCATTATTTTAAAGGTTTTGAGTCCTGTTTTACCTCTGATCGCTGTTGTAAATTCTATACTCCAGGAGATAAGACCCAGAGAGGCCTTTTACAGTATTGTGAACCTACAGGTGGGCAATTTATCTAACAAAAAAATCCAACCATTCTTGTTTTCACAGAGGAGGATAAATATGGCCTTTACTCAAATTTGTTGTTCAAGTATTTTCTCGCAGAGGGAATTGTCTGTGGACATGAACTGTTTGTTGCTTCTGCCAAAGAGCATCCTGACAACATTTTGAAGGTAAATAAGACTCATTGCTATTGATAAGTAAAGCTGTAATTTCCTGATTAATTAAATGCATTTTAAAGTGTATATACTGTATAGCAACAAATGAATTAATCTTGGTGATTCATAAGAATGTGTTGGGACGTACAGGAGTATTTACACCAGCCAGATTTGAGAATTAAATTCAGGTCTCTATCTCCCATCTATGGACAGTGGAGTTAGATCCTCCCAAGGCCAAATCAGGCTCAGAACCTGCTTATTCTTTATTTTATTTTCTTTATTCCACTGGCTTAGTAGAATGGTTTCAGTAAACCAAAGTACTTCGTTTCCTCGTGCCCAGGAGGAAAAGTAGTTAAGCTTCATCCATTCTGCTGTAGTAGAGACAGTGTACAGTGTGGATATTTATTGTAGTTTCCTGTAGAAAATAAAAGCATCATTTAACATCTTTATGATTTCCTTTACACTTACATTTCATTCTGACTCTTTTTTGTGCTAAGGAACTTGGTCAGCTTTGGATCAGGTCATACAGAAAGGATCCCTCCAGACTTCAGTGGACTCCCAATCAAACACTGATAGTTCCTGTCATGAGAAAATTGCATAAGGGAAAAAGCCTGATCAACAGTGCAAAAAATGCTGAAGTGTGAGGATAATCTTACAAAATTTCATTAAATATTTTATGTCTTTCTAAGGCTGCGTTTTCCTAATACCAGAAGTAACATATAATTTACTGATTACTTCTGCATCAAATGAAGTCTGGCTATTTCCTTAAGTGTCTTCAGAGACTATTTCTGGACAAAATGATTACTCTTCTGTTTTCCTACCTAGGGATGGTAAATTCTTGCCTTACCTATTGAATATTATCTTCAGTATTCAGGAAAAAGTATGTTCTTAATGAAATTATTGTGGTTGTGAAAAATCAGGTTTTTTTAACACTCTTGAACCTAAAGAAGGTTCATTTAAGGGTGAAATTTTGTCTCATTTGTGGTTTAGAACAAAGGTTAAACAAATAGGTTAAAATTTAGTTTTCAAATATGAATTATATAAGAATGTGCTACATTTTTTTAATTAAGTGGTTTTAAATTACTGATCAAGTATTGACTCCCTGATGATACAACATGATTGTTGCAGTTTTTATCATTGAGATTTAATTATCCAACTTAGTATTTTTTGCATTGCATCAAATTTTCTTAAAATGGAGTAGCTAATGTACATTCTATTTTTCTTTCATTCACCTTTGATTCATTGTCCATTGCCTGTCATGTTTTTTTCTGGCTCCTTTAGGCCTTTATGTGATAACCAGCAGACATTGTTACATACATCTTGCGTCTGGGGTCAGTTAGTTTGCTGTGCCTTACCCAGCTCTATTGTCTGATAGGGAATAATTTTCCTGCTTAATTTCCAGGGTAGACACTAGGCAGGGATGCTGCATTCCTGTGTTGTAACTCCATGGTGGTGCTGCTATGGGATACTATAAATGGAGGGACAATATTGCTGCATAAACATAATCTTGTTTTGATTTCTGCCCCTTTCTGTGCCCTTATGTATCCAACAATATTCTTGTCTGTGTTGTTTACTCTCACCTTGGCTATTCAACACTTCCTTTGTTTAACAGACAAGGCACAGCAGAGTTAATTTCTCTGACTTGTGTTGTGTCAGTGAAGTAACCCTCACCTTCAAGAAGATCTCTCCTGTTATAAAAATGAGCTGCTTGGGATTTGGATGATTCCACCAAGTTTGGATTTTAATATAGCATACCTGACCATGGAATAACAATGGCACTTTATTTAATGAGATTAATAATTAATTTATTTTCAATATCTGATTGGACTGTATTCTTCACTGGATAGGTAACACAGACATGATAGATACCAGACTGAATTACACCTTATGCTTGGGTTTTACTTTGTAAAATTCAAGTATGGATTCAATACATTCCACAGCCAGTATGTAATTAGCTGGGGTGTTTCATAAAGGCAGTTCATTAACTGTCCATACTGTGTCCATATTTAATGTCCATATTGTGTGGTCAGTCTATTTGCATGTTCAGCTCTCTGCTGAGATGCTATAATTGCCCTATTCCAATTTTGTGATGTGATTGGAAGTTTCTTGAACCTATAACCAAGACAAATATTGCTGGTAGTAAGAAGGGGAAAAGACATTCTTATAGACCATAATTATCTTGAAATTGTGTATAACTAAAAGACAGGCAGAGGATAAAAAGCCCTGATCAGCTGCCTAAGATATATTGTATTACCACCCACCAATTTATCCATCATCCTTTGAAAATATATTCGTGCCTTTTGTAGTCAGAGCTCCTTCAGGAAACTGGCATTAAGACATAATACTGAAAAATTATACACCACTGGTAAAGCCTACAGAACTATATACATGCTGGTTTTTAGAAAGTATTTTAAACATTGGAGGGCATTTCTGTTCACTCTATATTCTTAAAAAAAAAAAGGCAATTTTTTAATCTTAAGGGATAAGCACTGAGAATATATATAAGAAATTATATGGTAACTTCTGTGACTGATCATAAAATAAAACTGCTTGCATTGGTAAATGAAAAAATTTATTTAATAGTAAAATTATTTCAGGCTTGGCATTAAAATTCTACAACTGCCTAAACTGCCTATAAAATAAGTTCTTTGCCTTCATTCCTGATTAGTTTCCTTGGGTTGGGAGGTAGAACTGATTCTCACAAGTTTTAATGAGAAAAGAGGATTATTTATAGTTTACCTTGACAATGAAGATTGTTCTGTTAAGCTGCTTTTGCTGTAGAGCCTGTGCAAAGTGGGATGGAGGACACCAAGCTGCCAGCACCATGCTCTGTTGGAGCAAGGCCACAATGATCAGGGAGCTGGAGCTCCTATGGACACGGGCTGAGAAAAATGGGCTTGTCTAGCCTGGAGAAGAGAAGGCTCCAGGGAGATCTCATTGTGGCCTTGCAGTTCCTAAAGGGGGCCTACAAGCAGTTTTTGCTAGGGCATGCAGTGATAGGTCAAGTATCTTCTGTACGAGTAGCGCATCACAAAGAAATGCAGAATGATAAGGAAAAATTATGTATCTAATTTACTTTACTACTAAAATCAGAACTTACAGCTAATCCCTTTGAGATCTTGAAAGCTCCATAGAACATCAGATTTCTGGACATTCTTATCATCTTTCCACTATATAAATCTACAGTGACATCCATAAATCTATAAAAGCTACTGAGCTTGAATCTAATAACCAAAAACTACATAAAGAATTTCTCACTTGTCATTTTACTCTGCATTTTCTCAAAGGCTGATATGTCTAAGTTTCTACTATGAACAGATTTGTGCAATCTATAACTGGGGTTAATGAAATAAAGACAGATTACCTAAAAATATTCCTAAAATATATATCCCAATAATACCTATATTTGACCCCTATGGACAACAGGAACATTTTTTATCATATTTTTTAAGACAGTGCTGTTCTGATTGTGTGCAGATTAAAACAAGCTGAAAGCAAAGATGGTTTAAGTCCCAGTAAACAGAAGTATCTTTTCTTCATCACTAGTTGTCACTATTTCATACACATATTTGCCTATCAAAACAGACTACAAGCAGCTAGAAAAAGAAACTTGCGAAACATTCAATGTGTAGACTATAGGTCCAGTCAAGTTCAAGAAGACCTACCACAAATCAGATAATGAAATACTTGGATTTATTGAAAAATTAAACAGGTTAAGGCTTGTGAATGCACTAACTAGAGAGTCTTAATCTATATAGTAACAGCACAAAAAAAGGAGTATCAATATATATAAGAAATGCATTCATTACAGGGCAGTAATGTATACAATGAATGCAAAACTATGGGGGGTTAATATATACAGGGGTTAATGTACAGAGGCTGTGTCCAGAGGCCCCAGGAGCACGGCTCTGGGCAGCAGCAGCATCTCTTTCAGTGGCCGGAGAGCAGCAGCTCCCTGAGCCCAAGCACCAGGCCAAAGTAGCCCTGCAGGGCCTTCGTGTGGGCATCGGGATCGCTGGCCAGGTGCTGGAAGAGGTTGGGAGGTTCAGCCAGGCGCCAGTCCGAGGGCAAACGGATCTCCATGGGAAGCCTCTCATTGCCGATGACAAAGTGCTGCAGTGCTTTGGTCTCCAGCGAGCAGCGCGGGTGCTTCAGGATATCCATCATCCGCTGGGGGAAATCCCTCCTGCGCCAGCGTGTCAGGGGCACGGTGCTCAGCAGGTGCATCAGCACAGTCTTCAAGGTGGAGCTGGACAAGCCCACGCCCAGCAGGCAGCGGCTGAGGAGCTGCAGGCATTGCAGTGGCAGCTGTCCTGGGGGGCCTGCCCAGAAATGTGCCCAAAGAATTTAGCCTCCGCCACGGCACAGGTCTCAGGCCACACGGTGCTTGGCGTGCCCTCTTCTGAGGCCGGGCTGCCCACAAAGATGTCCGAGTCTCCTCGCTGCACCCCGAAGATCATCTCAGCCTTGAAGCTTTCCTTGCCTTTGCTCAACTGAAATCGACAGGAGCGGCTGGAGGGCATCAATGTTAAGCGCCAGTGGCGGGACTGAGGCAACAGCAGCCAGGCTACCCTCCCAAAGCAGCAGAACCACTGGGCAGTTTTCTGCACATCCAGATAGGAGCCAGTGCACAGGGTGTGCAGGAGGCTGGGCTCCTGTTTCCTCCTCAGCTCCTGCTCAGAGTGGTGGAGGAAACACAGCATGTCCTCCCTCAGCTGCCCGCTGGGGCAGGTGCACAGCAGCTCCACACGCACCCAGAAGTTCCACTGGGGCATCCCTGCAGTGTCCTGCAGGGGGACTCAGGGCTACAAGCACCTGGTACACAGAATTTTCTACACGGGGACTCCAGCCTTCAAAGGCGCTGCCCTCTCCGATGGCTTCTTGTGGCACCGGGTAGAAACTGTCTGACAAGCTCTGTTCAAAGACGTCTCTCAGTTTGGCCATCAGGTCACGAATCAGTGAGTAACCTTTCTCCAGCTCCACAACAGGCAACTGGATGCGCTGCACTGAAAGGA